TGTTGTCAGCACTTATGCACTATGGACACAGTGACCACTTTCTTGTGGAAGCTCTTGAGCGCCATGTGCCCAAGGTTGCCTTTACTGCTCATGCAGAAACCGTAACCAAGGTGATGCAGTTTTTCCGGCGATGGCGCATTCTTTCTCCACCTGTTTTTAACACGGTGGCTGAGAGTTTTGTGTATCGTGCAGAGGAGTACTCGACATGGCAGGTGTCACAACAGATAGCTGCACTGGGAGTTTTGGGATACCTGCCACCTGATGCTGGGAGATTGTTCCGAAAGGTGGAGTCTGTTTTGCATGCCCGGTTTTCCCAATTTCAGCCCAGAGCCCTGCTAGACCTACTGTATGCCTGTACCCTTCTACAGAGATACCCACTTAACTTTGTCTCAAAAGTCTTCAGCCCTTACTTCATGCAACAGCTACAGGGTGAGAAACAATTAAACATTTTCTATACAGTACCTGGGTTTAATTTTCAAGAACATTCAAGATGAATTGATCACTTATTTTAATGTTAATTGATTAATTAATCATTACGATTAATACAGAATAATGATATTTGGAGTTCTCCATGTTCATATACACGTGGCTTACTTATAAATTGTTTAAATATGCTCAAACATGAGTATTGGTATTTAGCTAATAATTTAAATGTAATTCTTTAATTTATTACTATAATTAGTGTATGGTATAGAAAATACACATTGGTTGTTGTGAAACAGTGATTTCACCATCTACTTGCATAATTACTGAACATATTTATGCTGAAATTGGTTAATAGACAATAGAAGCTTAATTCTTTAAAAATTATTTAGCACTTAATCATTAACATCTCTATGCAATATACTGAACTTTTTAAATATATTTTCCATCTCTCTTTTGAAGGGGAGGAGGGCAGTGGGATAGATCACAGAGTGCTTGCACAGCTGACCCAACTTTACATGACTGTAAAGCTCGAGTGTCCATTTTATGATGTGAGTGAAACTGCATTATTATTATTTTTTTTTACTATGCTTAAGACTTGATGCTGTTTTATACCAAATGTGATGTGAGAAATGAAACAAATTCCAAACAAATGGTTCTTTCACACCGAGCAAATGGAATCGCTGTCAGGCTGAAAGAAATGTAACATTCATATCAGTACAATAGAGGGCACAACATACATCACCTTTCAGCTAGGGGTGGGGGGCAGTGAACACATTTACATTCATGGTTTTGTCTTATGTTGGTTAATGGTCAAATAACTTGCACGTAAACCATTTAAATATGTTTTTTAGTAAATGTTTTATTTACAGTGTAGGGCTGTTTGATTTTGTCAATTATATTGTGATTGTTCAGTCATATATTACTATTTGATATGATAGTTTTTTTTTTTTTGGTAAACCCCAGGGCCGGATTTACCTCTTTTCGTGACATAGGCAAAACTAATTTTTGGGCCCCCCTTCCCTATTAATATAATAGGCCTAATATTACCACCCAAGCAAATAAAAATATTTCTTAATCAGTGGAAACTTTATAGTGTTTTCTATCGCAATAAGCGCTTGCGTTCAGTCAATAAAAATCGAATGTAGTTCTTAATTTGTTTGAGAACTGAGAAAGACCATTCCATTAATAGGCGCGGCGACGTGGCCACATAACCACTTCGGGAGTTATTTCTCTAATCATTTTAAAATTAAAAATTTAATTTTTTTAATTTAATGATTTGTTTCAAGACATAAACCCCCATTTGGGAAATCCTGATGAGGCAAGTAAAGAGCATCCGTTGCAGAAATCAGCATCTGTCAGGTGTCCAGCTTATGTTCTGCAAAGGTCTGCATACTGTCTGTGTGACTGTTTGGATGATGAAAATGGTAGTTAGTAATGTAATCTAGGTACCTCATTTTAGGTACATTTTTAGATTACTTTTTTGTAGTTTTCTTAAGTTTTACTTAAACTTACAAAATAAGCATACTGTACAACACTAATGTAAAATATAAAGAAAATATTAAATTTTTTGTATATCAACATCATAAAATTAAACACTGCATTACACCAGGGTTTCCCATACTGGTCTTAATGTAAGAACTGTAATAGTTTGAGAGTTGTCAAAAGCTATTAATTAAATCATGAAAATGTAAAAATAAATATTTTAACACTAAAAAAATAAATATTTTATTTGTTTACCTCCAAGTCAGTGTGACCATTAATTAACAGAGAACTGTAAACATGCAAATGTGTTCCTCAGAGATATTTCAACTAAATTATTTTAGGTTTGGCTGATAAAAAATGTTTGGGAATGCCTTGATTACATGAACAAACATTAGTAAACATGACATTACACACCCAAAGTCTTCCAGGTTTGAAATATTTTTGTTCAGACTTCCAGAATCAACAGCTACTGAATATTACTGGACATTATGGTGACATAGCGTTTCACAGCCATACATCACCATTAAAGAGATAGTTCACTCAAAAATGAAAATTCTGTCAGTAATCACTCACCCTCATGTCGTTCCAAACCCGTAAGACCTTTGTTCAATTTAGGAACACAAATTAAGATATTTTTTATTAAATCTGAGCAAGGGAACTACCACGGTCTAGGCACAGAAACGAATATGAACATAGGTCTTTTGGGTTTGGAACGACAAGAGGATGAGTAATTAACAACCCCCCCCCATATTTAGAAGCATGGTTCACACATTTATTTACATGACATTTACATGACCATTCTATATTGTGAATATAGTCAAAGCTACATGCTATGACACAGTAGGATTTTTAGAAGGAAAATGTAAAAGAGAAAAAAAAAATGAGGGAGAATTAATAAATTGTGAATAATTCACATTGTGCCATTGTGTAAATATATGTAATGTAATCCATAAAAAGTAACTGTAATCTGATTATGAGCACTTTAAAATGTAATATACTTTAATTACACATACTTATTTTTTTGGAATCTGATTACGTAATACAGATTACATGTCATCAGGTACTACCCTGCATTGAGCACACATGCAAGGTGAATGTTGATACAGAAGAGGTAGTAACAAGGTGGTACTAAGCATGTGTCGAACTCGTTCTGTGGTCGACAAGCTGCATGAATACAGCTGTGCATGAGACAGAGCGAAATGCATAAAATGAAGTATACCCAGCTTTTTAGGCTCCCAAAAAAGGATACAATTTAAAAGGAGTGTTATATATGAATTCTATACTAATGTTGCTTGCTTATTCATAACAATGCTCATTTACATATTTCTTGCACTTAAATGAAGGGACCACGACTTTCGCCGAAGTTTCAAGTAAAGTCATTTTTGGCTTCTGGACAGTCTTTGGAGACTCCGGTGGAACCTCATTTCTATAATGCTGTGAAGTCCGCCCTAGTGGATCTGCTGGGAGCTCAATCTTACTTTGCTTCCAGAGTACTTACACCATATTGTTATACGCTAGGTACATATTATGCATCCACTTTGGTCCTAAAATTGTATAGCTGTCAATTTCTTACACCAACACATGTAAACCTTCTGATTGGTATATCTCTGTGGCTGTATATGCCACTATTTTCTCGTTTATATATATGCAGACATTGAGATAAAACTAGATGAAGAAGGGTATGTCTTGCCTGCTTCGCATACAAATGAAGTCCATAAAAGGTAAGGCATTTCCTGCTGTTTGCAAATAAAGCAGGAACTGATGGTTAGTTGTCTGAGAATGAATGCATATTGTGATATTGATATTCATTTGTTTATTATCAGAATTGCTCTCTGTATTGATGGGTCAAAGCGCTTTGCAGCAAATGCAGAGAAACTACTAGGCAAGGAAGCCATCAAGCAGCGTCACCTGAGGATTCTGGGATATGAAGTTGTTCAGGTACAACAAACTTAATTTCTCTTGCCTTTTATTTACAGACTATGTGCTTTACTAAAATGTTTTTTTTTTTCTTTTACTAAACTTTTTTCTTCTATGCCTTTCTAAGTGTATGTGCATGTTTCATAGATCAAGCTGAAATGTTCATTTAAAGGAATAGTTCCCCAAAATAAACTGTGTAACTTACCCTAAAGTCGTTCAAAAACTTTATTCTTTTTTGTGTTCCAGGGTGGAATGAAAATTAAGAGTTGTGGTCATAATTTTACATGCACCTTGCAGAATCAGTGAAACTATAATAACTGTAGTAAAATAGGAGAGGGTTCATAAAAATGCATTTAGAGCTGGGGAGTGTAAATTTTTTCTTCAGAAACTACATACAGTGGGTACGGAAAGTATTCAGACCCCCTTCAATTTTTCACTCTTTGTTATATTGCAGCCATTTGCTATACGGTTCCCAGAAGACAAAATGAGGACAATTTACCCCAATCATCACCGTCCTTGAACATCAGTTGTTCTCTGTGAAAAAAGTCACTGGTTTCTTCTGCATATTTGAACCCTATTAAACAAAGAATGTTCCAAGACCTGGAGCAAAATCTTTTTAGGATTTTTAGGATCCCTATCATTTTTTTTTTTTTTTAATTAACATTCTGCATATTTTTCAAGGTGTAACGCAAGATGACAACTGTATTTAAAGTATTATTATTTCAATCCATTTAATCCACAAGCTACAAAACATTTCAAGCTCTGATAAGGACACAGATGTTGTGTAAAGTTATCCATACAACTCCAGTGGTTTCAATTTAAGTCTTCTGAATTTTTGTCAACATGAGGGTGAGCAAATAAGTAAAATTCATTTTTGGGTTAACTATTCCTTTAAACACCAGTCTTGTATGCATGCCAATGTTTAAAACTTACAATTCAAACTAGTGTATGCTCCATAATGGCCTTAGTTTTACTCTCTCTAGATTTCATACTATGAATTTGAGAAACTCAAGGATAAAAAAGAGGTTGTGGAATATCTGCACAAGAAGATCTTTCCTCACAGCTACAGACTCGGCTGGTGATATCTGGATTACCAAATGGATATTGAACTACAATTCATTAGATTTATTATGTATACAGAAGTTTGTCTTTTGCTTGTGTACAGAAATGTGATATTGTATGTAAATTATATTTATTTATGCTTTCAATAAAGTGTATTGCAGTACAAAGTAAACCACCTACTGCTGTATATCCTTCAGAAAATAAATCATATATACACAGTCAAAAACAAGCCAATCAAGAAAAACTCTGAACCCAATGATTAATGTTAAAAGATATCATGGATAGATTTCTTATGAAGCAAAAGATTATAATCTGAAGTAGATCAAGACTAATTAAAAAAAAAAAAGATGAAATCTTGACATTGAAGGTCTGTCCCAGTGTTTATGTTTGTAGATATTTGTCCAAATCTTTTGAGGGTTTAGGATGTATTGTCATTTTGTTCCATTATGTAGCTGGAATCTGAGGAAGGCCAAACTCATCCACCAGTACTCCATCCTGTTTGCAGAAAGCAGAATTATTTTATCAGTTTGCAAAAATAATTTTCTGTAACAGTGGATGTTATTCACATGTCTCCACAAAGCAAAGAGCATGTAACTAAAAATGCAGTGCTCAGTATGAAATATTTACATGTGATTTTAAAAATACTGTATATAACATGATACAGACATTTTTCAATAATCTGCTCTAACCTTAATCAGTATAGAGTATGCAGTCTCTTTTATGCAATAAAGTGACACTTTTTGGCATTCTAATTAAATTTTGATTCATTAAATTGACAAATGATCTCTGAGTGCATTTGTCAACTGTATACAATTTATTACTGAAATGAAAAGTCCAGCACATAGTGTTGATGGATGCAGCTTCTTACACTGTGTGGCTTGTTTACTTTAAATTTACTAAGCATTCTATTAAAGGATCATGAAACCCCCAAATCTGAACCTCAGATTTGAAACTGGCAGAAAAAATGAGCATGTAATGCTATAGAAAGGTGGGAGGGCAGAACATGAGGAGGTCTTATTGTATGTTAATTAGAGCACATGTTCTGTATTACCCCGAAAAAGGGGCATCACTAGTGGGGGGAAAGTGGGACTGACTATAGGGGAACCACAGCCATTGGGGGCCCATAACAATTGAAATTGCCTTAAGAGCACTTTGATACATTTTAAATATTTTTATTTTTCACATGTATATTGGCAGGTTAAGCAATCCTAAATGGATCCGCATTGTATAATAAAATAAATTATAGCGGCATTTATTATAACATAAATTATAAACAGCCTAAACAAATTTAAAGCAAAATTGAATTTTCGGTGTGTAGGAAATGCGCCATGTAACAAACTTGACATGTCTTACCTTGCCTAACAAGCACAAACTGGCAAAGTTCAATGCGAGGAAAGGTAAAAACCAAAAACCACAAGATAAAAATTTCTTCTATGAACGATTAGACCAGCAATTTGTGAGCAGCTCACAAAAGAGAACACAAAGTCAACATATGGCTTAATGCAAATTTTTCATTTCACTGTAATACCATGAACTATTTTATTATTTTTTAACGATTTAAAAAATAAGTGAAATTAGTTAATTATTATTTGTATTAGTAGTTATAAAAAAATACTTTTAAACATTAAGCATGTAGCCTTCAGATTTTTTCAGTTAAGTTACCATTGCATTAAAAAGATCAAATAAAAAGTTACAAAATGAAATAATGTAAATAATAAAATGGAAAAAAACTTTACAAGTGGCAAGTCTACTGCACTTACACTGCTAGACTTAATGCTCAGACTTCACATATCAATTTTTTTTTTGTCCCATCCATAGCTATTTACAGAGTGCTCACACAAATACACATGGGAGTGTTTGAAAGCATTAAGATTTTTTTAAATTTAAGTATTGACTTGATACTGAAGTACCAGTACTTTTGACAACACTACTAGAACTGATATATGTGAATGCATATTTTTTTGCTTTCCGTGCTTGCCGTTAACTGCATAATACAAGTTGCTTTGGACCATAAGTCACAATACATTTTAGATTATAAATGTGACATTTTCTAGAAAACACTAAATAAATAAAAATGTGTTTTATGTTGTTTTTTTGTGTTTTTTAAATTAATGGGTGTGTTTACCCGATTCGTGGTTCTGTCTCCTGGTACTCCTTCGGGTATAGCTGGAGCAGAAGAAGCCTCATCCAGATAGGAATTGTCATCGTCCAAAAGGAGTTCATCACCAAGTGCATCCAGCTCTTATGGTACAAACAAATAATCATGCAAAAACCAACATTCTTTTTTTTTTATAGTGAACAAAGTACATACACACATTTATTAGTAATAGATCACAACTAATTACTAATCAAAATAAAAATACTAAATGCACAAAATAAAAAACTACCTTAACACCTGTTCTAACTAACCTGCCTCCAGATCATCTTCATCGATGTCTGGTGTCCCATATCTGCGGCTAAGAGCTTCTTGCACTTCATTAGCATCTTCCATCATGTCCTCCAACTGGTCTTGTAGATCCTGCAGCATGAACAGCAAAACTTTTTCTAATACACGCATCATTTTTTAAAATCAGTTCAGACAATTTAGTATTTTACACTAAGTAAAGAAATGAAAGGAATCGTACCTCAATCTGATCAATTTTAACATTCTTGTATGCTTTTTTCATTTCTTTGGCACCAATTTTCATCGCATCCACCTATGTTAAAAACATTAACATGCACACACAGAAAACAAGTATGCTTGCTACATATCACTAATGTTGAAAAAACACATGACATTTCTTTTTTTCTTATGACTGCGTTCTTACAGTGGTCTTGGTGTCTTTTAGTGTCTGGATGGTGTAGTTTGCTTGTTCCATGTTAAATGACTGCTGCATCAACTGATCTCTCTGCCCTTCATACCTGGAGATATAACAATATCCTTCAATGTCTTGTATCGGTTTTTTGCATCAACAAAGTTTAGGAAACACCATTATGTTATAGACCAATTCGTTTTTTGTTTGTGAAGCACTTAGTAAACCAGGGGTGTCCAAACTTGGTCCTGAAGGGCCACTGTCCTGCAGTTTAGCTCCAATTTGCCAATTTAATTGGGGTTGGAGCTACACTCTGCAGGACAGTGGCCCTCCAGGACTAGGATTGGACACCCCTGTGGTAAACACATTTACATAGATTTTCATTTGTTCATTTGACTAACTGTTTTACCCAAAGTTACTTGCAAAATAAAAACACAGCATACAAGAGCTTAACGTATTAGCAGTGCTACAAAACAAATAGCAAATAAATATAGTACAACAGTATATTATATATAATAAGGCAATTTGTGTTTGGATCATAACTCTGGAACCATAAGTGCTACAATAAAAATAAAGGAAAACCATCTTAGGCTGTCTGTCCGATTTGCATGAAACATAGCACACAACACCCCTAGACACTCATGACAAAAGCTTAAAAACTTTTAAGTTAGGATATAAATTAAATGGCCACACAATGCTAATTTTTTTATGAGCTGACTTACATATGCTGAAAACTGACCAAACTTAAAACTTGACAGACTTGGACAACAGGACATTCTGACAACGCACACAACGTTTTGTCAAATTCTAACAATAAGAGGTGCTACAATTGAAAACCCACTATAACTTCACAACCATATGCTTCATTAAGTTAAAAACTAGTATGTATCATCAGGAGCACAAGCGTGAATAAATTCAGTCCCTAGCTTTTGTTTGCAAAATTTGATGAAGATTGAACTAACCTAGGAGGAGTTAGTAAAGGTAGATCAAGAAAATTTTAAATGGCAGAAGAATTTTATCATTTGAAGGGCCTAACTCAAGGATTCAGAAGTACAAACGAATTTTACTCTGTGTGCCAAGTTTGGGGTCTCTATGATTTACTCTGTTGCCCATACACTTTAAGGACAAAAAGTTGGTGCAAACACAATAGGGTTTCAGAACTTTAAGTCTTTGGACCCTTTAATAATCTTTAGGAAATCAAAAAAATGATCCTTAAGAGAACAACAGGGCACTTTCAGTGCTTGGGCCCTAAATATGCCAGAAAGTGCTAAACATGCTAGTAACATGCCATATTCATGCACAATCATGCTAGTAACACTTGGCTAAGCATAAAGCATGTTACTAATACCCAGCTATGCGATAAAACATGATACATGATAAAACTCGCTAGAAACATCTAGCTAAATGCAAACTAGCAAAATAGAATGGAATTCTCCTGGCATCACACTGAATTTTTGATAATTTACCATGAAACAGAAATTATTGTTGAGAGGCTAGGGATGCGCAAAACACACCAGCACCCCCAGAGTGCACCAAGGTGAAATGCTTTGCAGATTTAATTTACAGTGAAGATTTTTTACATAAACATATTAAGAATGACTACAAATAAGGGCACTTACATTCTCTTCTGTTTGAGGACTCTCATGGCTTTCTGTTTCACCATGTTCTAGAATAGAAGCAGAAAAAAAACTGGACTACAATTTTTCCAATGTCCTGTTTGCATTGTTAGGTCAGATCTTCATACACTGCGTGGTGTGCTCTGTCAGACACCAGATATATGGCTATAATGTTGAATGATTTAAAAATAATAATAATTAAAGAAATAGATAACCAAATTAAACCAACAAAAAAAAAAAATCAAAGAAACCTAAATTTATTTATTTTGAGTAACGAAAAATCAAGGCAAAATCAAGTAACAGAAAACTGAGAGCAGTAGCTCTGGCTTGTGTCTTCTGAACCTATACTAGAGTTTTGTATGAAGGACAAAAAAAAAAATCTTAAATCTCATTCACATTTGGAGATATTCAAACCTAGCATATAAGAGTGTCATGCCAGGTTTAATGTCAAACAACAACAAACACCATTGTTTTTTCTACCAACTGTGACACACCAGGTTTGAATATAAAGTATAAATGGAATTTGAGAGCTATATAGGGAATAATTTTCAACATATATCATCTTAAATTTCTGTCTTTGGTCATCACACATAGCCAGAGCTGGGTAGTAACTGATTACATGTAATCTGGATTATGTAATCCAAAAACGAAGTACTTGTAATTAGAGTAAATTACATTTTAAAATACTCGTAATCAGACTACAGTCACTTGTAATTGTAATACAGTTACTAGTTATTACATAATTACATATTTACACAACAGCAATAATTTATTCATAATTTATTGATTCTTCCTAATTCCTCTTTTTCATCTTTTAAATTGTCCTTTCTAAATTGGCCTACTGCTAATATGCACTCAGAAAGTCTTACAGTTTTGTGGACATTCACACATAGATCAGTCAAGTGGCTACTCAGCATTTGACCACTGGATTTACAACAATCATTTCAGATTTAAGTAGTGTTTCAATATTGCATCAACTACTGATGAACACATTAATTTTTATTTCAATTATCACTCAGTTGGTTATTTTACTATGTATTACTTTGGAAGACGTTTGTAAAAAAAAAAAAAAAAAAGCACAAATTCACCAACTTTTTTGGCATCTGATCCTCTTTCACATAATATGTTTTTATTTGAAGTAGCCTTGAGATTTTAAAATAAAGATTTTAATGATGAAGTATCACATTTGCATGTTCACAAATAAAATTTTAAACAAATAAAATATTTAGGGATGCACGATATAGAATTTTTGCCGATATCCGATAGGCCGATATTTTTCAAGTCATTTTGGCCGATACCGATACCGATATATTTCCTTTTGTTTGGAAACAACACCAAGTCTCGAAGCTTTGAAAATAACTATAAATAAACTATATATCAATCGCTGCATTTTTTCGCCAGAAAGATGCAGTGTTAACCCTAACATTTTATTTTAAGATTTAACATTTGTAGATGGTCTAAAGCAATAGAGTTGTAAAAATTCTGAAAATCTTTTAGAGCTTATGATTTGTTTTGTAGGCTATTTTACTTTTAATTTAATTAGAAGTAGGCCAACAGGGCCCCCTACAGATTAAAACTCCTTACAGAACGGGCATTAGGACCTGGGGGAGGCCGTCACTGCTGCCACTGCACCTGCTATTACCGTTTACTCTATTACACACTGAACATGTCATTCTGTATGTGCTTTCACAGATTAAATGCAGCGATCCAAAAGAGTGAATCATTCAGACAAAACTTTGCTTCAAGAATGAGCCACACTGCTGATGTGATCTAATCACTAGCACACCCTGAGCACATGTGAGTTAACGTATTCATCTTATCGGCATAATTTTTCATATCGGGCCATGCCAGTATTTACATTTAAAGCCATTATCGGCAGATTCCGATACCAGTACGATAATATCGTGCATCCCTAAAAATATTTCATTTTTTCAGTAAGTGTTTTGATTAATTTTAAAATTATTTGTTTTAATTCAAAATTTTATGATTTAATTAATTATTAGCTTTTCATTAAACTCATAAACCCCCTGCAGTTCCTTCACAAACTCAGTTTAGGAAACCTTGACATAATAAAATATTTAATGCACTTCATGTTGTTAGTAACAACAAACTGAATATATTTTCTTACTCTTTGTATTTTTATATCAATATGGTACAAGATTAACCTATTTAAATCAATGTGAAAAACGAGATAGCTCAAAAGTAATCTAAAAGTAATCTGATTATATTACCTAAATTGTGTAATGCAATGGATTAAGTTACCAATTACATTTTTTGCCATGTAATTTGGAATCAGTAACGGATTACAATTTGTAAGTAATCTACCCAGCGCTGCACATAGCTCATAGTTACGAATTCATATGGATTCGAAAGACGTCACCTATAGCACACAAGTTTTATGGACTACTAACATAGTTTTTCATTTCTTTTCATTTATTTCTTTTATTTTCTTTTTGCAGCTTTGCAGTATAAATCACAATCAAATTACACTGTATGGTAAAAAGCAGTTCAGGTATTATGCCTAACATCCCTTTTGTTTTTCATGGAATGATGAAAATGTTATGGATACAATTAAAAGAAACAGAAACGCAAGTGTAGTAGAATTAAAATTTTGTGGTGAGCGATTCCTTTAAAGGGGTCATATGATGCGATTAAAATTTTTCCTTTCTCTTTGGAGTGTTACAAGCTCTTGGTGCATAAAGAAGATCTGTAAAGTTGCAAAGACTAAAGTCTCAAATCCAAAGAGATATTCTTTATAAAAGTTAAGAGTCAGCCACGCTTACCTAAAACGGCTCGTTCTAACACGCCCCCACATATCTATGTCGCTATGTGGGAAGATTTGCATAACACATAAAAGGCGTAACTTTTATTCTCGCTGTAGTTTTGTTTCCGCCGCCATGTCGTAAAGACGCTGTGTGCTTCGTTGTGAAAGCGAATCTACTTTGTTTGGTCTTCCAAAAGAGGACGATATCCGACGCACTGGATAGCTGGCCAACCTCGCTTTTCAGACCGATGAGCTTTTTAAAAATTGACGCGTTTCAGAAAGGCGGGGCATAGAGGAGAAACAATAATGTACAGTATGTGGAAAATAATGTGTTTTTTGAACCTTAAACCGCATAAACACATTTCATTACAACAAATACACAAAATACTGTTCTTTTTAGCAGCATCATATGACCCCTTTAATGTTCAGAAATACATAATTGCACCCAGGTAAAGTCTGAGCCAAATTTTACCTTTGATGGGCCATCCCTCATTTTCTTCATTTGATCTTTGTATTTCATCAGTTCGGCATCGAGTCTGGCTATCTTCTTATCGACAGACTCTGCTCGTGAGTCAACCTGGAATTCATCAAGGGAAAGAAAGACATTATATAGGATACAACATATATTCAACCATGCATATGCTTAATTTATTTAGGAAACGAGAAGCTGTAATTGTAAATGAAGAAAAAAAATTACAACCTGTGATGATAAGTCACTGAACTCTAAAGAAACCAGCAGGACTGGTTCAAATTCATACAACCTCAACACAAACTTTTTGTCATACACAACTTTCAGAACAAATTTTGTGTGTATTCAAAAACACCAACCATGCCACTTCTTTAACATAAGCAAACCAAGAGAACAACTATAAAATAAACAAAATAAATGTATAATGTAATGTTTATCTACATGGACAAAGTCTGCTTTACTACATGACACAGCAGAACATATTTCAACCACTCATTACAAATAACATGAAAAATCTTTCGGCTGATAATATGAAGAAAGATAATTCAGTGAGAGATTTAAGCAACACTGAAGCCATTTCAGCTCTCAGGACAGCGTTCTTTTGTTTCACATTCTCCAAAGTTACATAGAAACAAACACATACACCCGATATACAGTCCGTCAGGTTTGGTGGCGGTGCTTTGGGTTTTCCTCGTCCGAAGATACGATTCATGCCGACACTATTGTAAATAAACAGGTTAAATAATAAAAAGTAAAAGACGAAAACAGAATCTCAACCTCCGCCCGACAACAAAACACAGCCTAGAAAAAGAATCCGGAAGTAACAACGTCATGACGTCCAAGGGGTCTCCCCACAGGGCACGTCTAATCACCCAAAGCTGAAAAGGCAGGAATGCAAGCAGCGTGTCACGTCCTAGTACTTTTTGAAACACTGCTTCACGCAGCTTCGAACCCTTTGTGAATCTTTTATTTTTGAATCAGTGGTTCGGAGCGCGTATCACATTGGGCAAATCACGTGATTTCAGCAAACGAGGCTTCGCTGCGTCATTACTGTTTCGAAACTTTTGGAAACCCCCATGGTATGGTTGCCACTAGGTGGCGTTGATCTCAAAGTAAATCCATAAACAGTGTCTACCAGGGGCGTTTCCTCCGAGGAGGCAAGGGAGGCAGTGGATGCGTCCGAAATGGCATAGGCCAGAGCCATAGAAAGAGAGAGTTGCGTCAACGGAAGTCCAAAACGCTCGATCGTCACGTGATTCACGTAGACCTCAAATAGTTCCAGGAAGTTCATAGCGGGCAATTTAAATACATAGAGTTGGAGAGACAGAACTGTGATTTTTGGTCATTAGTAGACAATAAAATTATTTATTTACATTATTTATAAAATAATGTATACGTAGTATATATATGTAGTTATATCAGTGTTGTTTTTAAAAGATAAAATCCGCTAATATTTGAGGATTAATGTGGTCAGCTATCCTTACCTGCCTTGTTAACATATTTTAGGCTGAAGTTACCATGGTAAAAGTCCGTGTTTGCTATATAAACGACATCGTGGTCTTCTACCAAGATAACTTCAGCCTCTCTATATAAATATAATTATATATGTGTGTGTGTGTGTGCTCTTACCATGTTCGTGA